TTTTGCTAGATGCAATATTGTTTCCTAGTTGCTTTTAGTTGTGCTAAATTTGTATCTGAAAAAAATGTTATTTCAATATCAAATGAATATTCATAATTAGAAAATCAAGGTTAGTATCAATGCAGCTGCAGATCTATTTATTTCCCTGTGTAGGAACCAGAGTTGGCAGTCTAGGCCTTCATTTCTTTCATACTGGATCAAGCATCTGTTTTTATAACAACCAGATGGATTTTAAATAAATGTGGCTGAGTTCCAGAGTAGCTGTGAGCTACTTCCATGGTAATCTTACTATAATAGAGCAGTGGCATGGCTACCTATATATCTATCTACATGGACAATATAATAAATACAATGGTGTCATCTGTTGTGCTGAAATACAAGATCTCAATGCCAGAAGTGGTGACCAAGTCTTATGGAATGTGGCGCCATCTAATAAATAACACCACAAACAAAAATGCACAAAAAATTCCACATTGGGTATTCAAGATTTATATAATTAGAAAAATAGCAATGCCATATGTAACAACCATTTCCTTAAAACAGAATACAATTTTAAATAAAAGCACTCTCCTCACAACAAGAACATGACTTTCACTAGGACTGTACCTAAGAGTTTGATTATATCTTTATTGATGTAAAAACCTGAGTTCTTAAAAACTATTATTTTTTCAACAAAGGGTAGCACTTTTAATATATAAAAACATTACATTTTATATCCTTAAAATGTACGAAAATAACTGAGCTCTGCACATTGAATCATTTTAATGTAACGAGTTGCATATGACTAAAGAGGACAATCTGAACATTTTTCCTGTGCAGTAATTTCCCAGAAAAAAAAATACTTTTTTTAGAAAATGTTCACTTTTTACAATTCTTACAATGAAGTATGAATACTACAATTACTAATTACTAGCACAAACAGCCACCCTTAGAGTGGCATTTCTGCTTGTAACAACAATGGAGAACACAGCTGGAAATAGATCAAGATTGAGACTCTACAAAGCCTAGAGGACAGGAATGTCAACAGGTGAAAGGTATACATTATATACAGGTGAGATACACATAAGCCAATAGATATGTCACTTCACCATGGCAATAATTTTAGCACGTTATTCTTAAGGAAATTGTTAGCACAAAGAATTGTTGTAACTGGGCTATTATAATATTAAGTTACACCTTTAATGAAACATTTGGACCAATCAAGATTCAACTGACATTACATTCAATCCTGGTATTTTCCTTTTGAGATCAAATTGTTAAACCTTCTAGCTATCTTGTTTTCAAACAACTAGTTGTATCTATTTTCATACTTCTTAAGAATAAGTCTTATAGGAGGTTCTGCCATTGAGAAATAATGATGACACCATATATGCCTGCATTTCCAGTTAGACCTTCACTTACCTTAGCTGAAGAAAACCTAACAGAGCTTAAGTATTTTAGGACAAATTCCAAATTCTGGGAAGTTCTACAAATATTTAATACCTCAAGGCCCCAATTATATAATCCCAACATTTGGTAGAGATAACTAAGGCAACTCGTGGCATCAATGTCAGTTGACATTGCCATGAGTAAAAAGCTAGATGGACAGAGGCCTGGGCTCTTTACAACCAGGAGGATGATCATCTGTTGAAGCATAAAGAGCCTCCATCACAGCTGAAGTAAGAGATGTGCTGTCTCCACGCTGACCTGTTGCAGACTTGTAATGCCCTTGCAAGGGCCTAAGAGATCATTTGCCAGACCATAAATTGATTACTGCATTGGAGGACTTGCTGTTGGGATTCAGTAGGTAAAAGGGTCCAGTTTCATTGGAAGCTTATGTACATTTTCCTTTATGTGGTTTTCTTTATTGTTCCTTCTATTGTATTATCCTCTTTATTTATTTTCATTCTAAATAGTTTTTATATAATTATCAAGGTTTTTCTCTATATACATATCTTTTAAAGGCACACCTATATATATATATATATATATTTATTTACAGTTGAGTTTCATGAGGGATTTTTCTTTTAATTTTTTTTTTTTGTACTTTGCCTATTGTATGTATACATGTTACATTGGGTTTTGTTTTGTTAAAGGATTATTTCTGTCTTTTATATCATTGGACATTTTGATATAGTTTTGATTAGAGTAAGTAATTTTGTGTTTAATATTAAATGGCTTTTGTTTTGAGTGTTTAACTATATACTTTTAAAAGGTTGTTTGATCTCGGTCTTAAATTTACTGTTAGATTATATATGATTTTAATTTTTTGTCTAAATTTAAAATATTTTGTTGTGTGTAAAGTTGTATTTTCTCTTTGTATTACAGTGTAAATTTTCTAGGGGGTGAGAATAAGTTACAATGATATCTTCACCACTACACAAGACATTTTTCTTTTTAGATTTGAAAGTTAGGGATGGTCTGAAGGTAAAGTGGAGAGGAACAGTGTGATATGCAGATATACTGTGCATTTCATACATATTTTAATATACACATTATTAAAAACTTCTGCACACATTGAGCTAGTATTTTTAATACATAAATTCAATCAAGGGAGATACTAAGTTTCTCTCATATTTATTACTAATGAAACTAGATCAGTAAGCAACCGTGTACTTTCTTGTGGCAAAGATTGCTGTAAGTGTAACACTGAACATACTGTATAGAAATTGACAGTGATTTATTCCACTTGCAAGACAGGTTATTCTCCAGGGATAAAACCCCCTTGATTTGAAGTGAGGGTGATTGCCAGTCACATGGGCAGTTCCTGCACCCTATGAAGAAAATGGCATTGTTGTTATTAGTGTGTAATACCATGTTGTTGTTTTTTAAGTCTGGAACAACAAAGAAATTAAACACGATTTTAAACAAAGATTTAACTCAGATAATGTAAGGTTACAGATTTCAATCCAGCAAATATGCCACACTATACACTGAGTGGTCAC